TTAGCGTGTCACTACTAGGAGCACGCAGGTGTTTCATGATGGCACCGTATATAGGGTCATCATCGTACGCTGTAGCAATCTCGTCACCCAGCAGGAGCGTGGGCGTGGCCAACGTCAAGTTGATGCCTGACGACACGCAGATCGCACATTCGTCGTCGTTCTCATCAGCCAGCTGATGTCCTAGCGGCTCACGGGGATCGTAGTCCGGACGCCGAGACAGCGCGTCGGCGAGAATGTTATTCTTGCCCGACTTGTAGTGAACAACGAAGTTGTACTCGGAGAAGAAGGACAGCCAGCGGGCCATCCGTTGCGACAAGTGAGGGCTCTTCATCGCTGTCCGCAGCGATGCGTGATCAGTGTAAACCGCAAACGACTGTTCACCGAGCAAGTACACTCTGAATTTGATCAGAGCGTACCGCATTGCCAGGAGCTCCTTGTCGTGGACTGGGTAATTCTTCTCGGCTGGCTTCAGTTGGCGCGACTGATAGCTGATAACGCGTTTGTGTTCGTCATCATCGAACTGCATCAGCGCACAGCCGATGGCAAAATCGCTCGCGTCGCAGACGACGTGGAATGACTTTGAGTCATCAGCAAGCTTCCGGATCGGCGCAGACGCCAAGCTCTTCTTCACCGAGCCGAATGCAGCTTAATGGTCCGATTTCCACTCCCAGATCACGTCTTTCTTCAGCAGCGAGGACAGCGGCTGGATCAACCCAGCGTAATTCTTCGTGTACTTGTGCAAGTAATTGGCCATGCCAAGCCACTGACGCAACTCAGTGGGGCTTGTCGGCGTTGGCCAAGCACAGATAGACGAAACCTTCTCGGGATCCGCGCGCACACCGTTCTTGCTCACGTAGCATCCCAACACCGGAATCTCCGGTGCGCAGAAGACACATTTCTTCAGGTTTGCGTAGAGCTTGTTCTCTCGCATCACCTGGAAGACTTGTCTCAGGTGTTTCAGATGTACGTCCACGGCACTGAGGTTGCCCTCAGCGCGGCTGTGCACGAAGATGTCGTCGAAGTAGCTCGGCGCGAAGTCTCGAAGCGGGCGAAGCACATGGGAGACCATGCGATTGAAGGTGGCAGGCGCGTTCTTGAGGCCCTGTGGCATCACGAGCCACTCCCAGAGCATCCCGCTCGGTGTACTTACGGCGGTGAGAGGCACATCAGATGTTCTCATCAGGATCTGATAGAATCCATCGGTCAGGTCGATGGCGCTGTAGATGACGCTGCCAGCCATGGAGTCCAGTACCATGTCCTTCCGAGGGATCGGAGTCTGCGCGGGGATGGTGGCATCATTCAACTTGTTGAATGCGTGAACAATACGCCATCCCCCTGTAGCTTTTTTCACACAGAACGTTGGACTGGAATGGGGAGAGGTACTCTCACGCACGTGACCCGCCTTTCGGCGGCCCTCGAAGAAGTCATCGATCGCTTTCACTTGATCACGCGGAAGTGGCCATTGTCTGGTAGCGTAGTACTTCGTACCTGGCGCGAGGTCGATCTCATGCTGGACCCCACGATCCGCCGGTAGCTCGGCGGGGATCTCATTCGGGAAGACGTCGGCGTACTCGCAGGCGGTGTCGTATACGGGATTCGCTGACTCCCGCAAGGCCTCCCAAGACTGCGTTTGGAATCGTTCCTCTCGAGCAGACTTAGGTTCAGCACCTAGCGGACGTGAACGTTCACTGTCCGTTGCGACCGCATTTGCTGCCTCATCCACCGAGCCTGCCTCGGTGACCAAGCATACTTGCTCGACGTCTCCCGCCTTGAGGTCCCGAAGAAAGGTCTTCCAGGACAAGCCTGGAAGGCGTGTGATCGCCGCCGCTTCGCGCGGCGGGCTCGCGATTGCGATGCTGCGCGACCGATTCGGGCCTCCTTTCACGTACTCCAGCGCGCTGACCGATTCCATCGGCGGGCTATCGCTGGTCGTGGAGTCTCGACGAGGTTTCAGGCGTCGTCGCTTCGACTTCTTCTTCGACTTCCTCGAGCTTACGCTCGAGTCTGACGCACTGCTACTCGACGATGCATCACCCTCCTCTAGGCGCGGGAGACCGTACTCGACCGGGCCGGGAACACGCGGGAGCCCCTGCTCAACCGCGGCATCGTTTGACGGGAGCCCAATCTGCTCGACCGCCGAATCGTTCGGCGGGAACCTCTGCTCCACCGCCGTCTCGTTGTGTGGGAGCCCCTGCTCGACCACTGTCTCGTATTGTGGGAGCCCCTGCTCGACCATCATCTCGTGTTGTGGGAGCCCCTGCTCGACCACCGTTTTGTACTGTGGAAGCCGCTGCTCAACCACCTCATCATCTACCTCGCGAAACCGCGAGGGCTCTTCGTCCAACAACGTAGCACAAGCCATACAGAGAGGGCCATCGCTCGCTCTGTGCACTGCCTGTGTCGTTGCTGTTTTATCCACGACTGTGACGTGGGGCCAGTCTCTTGGCGCCACCAAGAGGTGTGTGAAGACCTCGCTCACGTTGAATCCACGTCGACGCTTGACTGATTGGGCCAGCCAGTCAATCTCTGGCTGATATCGCGCAAGCCAAGGGATGCCCAGGATGCAGTCAAACGCGTAGTTCATCTCGATCACCAAGAAGTCGTCCTTGCTACGGAAGCCGTCGAACGTGTACGACAAGGACACGTCACGCCGCGCAACGCGGCGAGCCTTACCATCCGCGAGTTTGACTTGGATCTCGCCCGGACCATTCCGGACGCGGACGTTCTTGGGTAGTACCGACAAACCCGACGCGCGAAAGAAGTTGTTGGTCGCTCCTGAGTCAAGGAGCGCGCGCAGTGGTCGCCGGGCACCGGTGACGTGGAGGCTGACAATGATCAGTCTCGAGTCGTCCGGCGTAGTGGTGGCATTGGTGTGTGCTTGGAGCACGGGAGGGCTCGAGGGTTGGGCTGCCACCGGAGCGCCCGGTCCTTCGTTAAAGCCAGTAGGGCGCCCCGCACCTACTAGTCTTGGTCGTTTTTTGAATGAGCGACCGAGGAGTGTTCCGCATCGACGTGAGAGACGACGGTAGCTGGCGCGCGGCACTCCGCCGCGCGGTGACCCTTCTTCCCACAGCGGAAGCAAATGAGGGAACGATTGCTTCGCCCAGCGCTGCCGCGGTAGGACCCGCGACGTCGATCGCTCGACGCGTTGATGGCGTCGATCTCCATGGGCTCGGGGGTAGACTCTCGGGCTTCCGCAGGTATGGCTGCGGCGTACGATGCAGCGACCATGTAATCCTCGCGAATCGCGAGTGCAAATGCCTCCTCGAGAGAGGAGGGCTCAGCTCTGGTGAGGAAGTAGCGGGTCATACCCTCGCGCATGCCGAACACAAATACGTGGACTTGCGAGGCCATGTCGATTGGCTTGGTCACGATGCATGACGCCAGATGTCGCGTCTTCTGGACGTAATCACGCATGGACATCTGCCCTTGCCGAAGAGCGAAGAACTCTGCGCGAACGCGAGACTCATCTTGCGGGGGCTCGAACGCGAGGCGCAAGTCGCTCTGGAGAGTTTCCAGAGTCGGGAAAGCCTCGGGGTCGACAACCAGCTTCCCGAGGGCCCATTCTTTGGACTTCACGGTTAACCGGGAGAGGAGGAAGTTTATCTTGGCGGATGACGCCTCGATGGTTGCGAGGCGATAGCGATGTCGATCTCGGGAGCCACCGGTTTAGCGGGACAGGTTTCACCGGCGCAAGAATACGTAGACGTCTCCAT